CGATTCTCTCGTGTCTTCTGCATGTGCATGATGATGATGGGTTTTGTTTCTCATGCAGTTCTTTACATTATTTCTTTTATCTTAATTTTTACATATGTGCAACTTCAAGGAATAGTTCACCCAAATGTGCTCACCTTCAGTTCATCTGAGATCAGGATGAGTTTGTTTCTTCATCAGGTCTGTAGAAATGTAGCACTGCATCAGTGTCTCAGCAATGGATGCTCTGCAGTGAATGGGTGCCGTCAGAATGAGAGTCCAAACAGCTGATAAAAACATCACAATAATCCACAGCACTCCAGTCCATCAGATAACATCTGGAGAAGACAAAAGCTGAAACACATCCAGCATTAAGACGTTTTTAACTCAAATATGAGTCTATAATCCATAATAACGCTTCCTCCAGTGAAGAAGAGGTCTGGTCTGAATCAGGAGAGAAATCTGCACAGATCAAGCAGCGTTTAAACAGCTCTGAACAAATATGTGTCTGGATTTTGATGTGAGAGACAACAGCAGATGCACTTTTTCACTGGAGGAAGCGTTATTGTGGATTATAGACTCGATGTATTTGAGTTAAAGCGTCTTAATGCTGGATGTGTTTCAGCTTGTGTCTTCTCCAGATGTTCACTGATGGACTGGAGTGCTGTGGATTATTGTGATGTTTTTATCAGCTGTTTGGACTCTCATTCTGACGGCACCCATTCACTGCAGAGCATCCATTGCTGAGACACTGATGCAATGCTACATTTCTCCAAACCTGATGAAGAAACAAACTCATACATCTTGATGAGAAAGCATCTGTTAGTGTACATTGTTTGTGGTTATACGGTGTGTGTTTCGTACCTGAGGCTGTCAGAAGGGATTTGATGTAGTCTGGGTGGAAAAGCCGGACCATATTGTAGAACGGACCCAGATACCAGGCACAGGAGTGAACGTACCTCCTGATCAGATCATCAACGGCCTGCAGTCCCTCTTCATTATGGCCCATCTGAAACACACAGTAGAGGAAAATCTCTCGCGGGCTTCCGCTAAAAGCACAAGCGTTATAATTACGGCTCCTGTGGCTTTAACACTCGACATCATGTGAAGTGTTTTATGTTCTGCTACTGCCAGACTGAGAAAAAAATGACAATAATGCACTCTGACTTTGAAGTTTACACTAAAAAAAAGACATAAAAACTGTCCAGATGCTCACTGCGTACTCTTTTGAATAGTGTGTGAAACAGTACGTGCTTTGCAACAAAGCACTACAAATAATAGTATGCTACATTGTCATCTTTTTTCTTGCGAATGTTAAGTGAACATTCCATTTGATCATTTTGCAAACATTATGAGAACGTTACTTTTGAATGTTCCCTGAACAATCTGCATTTGTGTCTTCAGCTTTGGCAGTTTTGGCAATTATTAATTAAGAATGAGGAAAAACTGGATATTAGATCTGCTTCCTGTTTATGGAAATGACAGTCGAATTGCAGTTCTGCACATTCATCTGACAAATGTAGCAAATCACCTTGTTTTTGCATGCATACAGAAAGTTTGCATACACAGGAGTATCCTGGTAGAATGCTGCTCTGAACATGCACACACACAGCATTACATGTGCATAAACATGCAAATAACACGCCTGGGCAACAATGCTGAATTATCACCCAAGAGGAACGCAGTTCTGAAAAACTCAGATAGTGATCTTTTGCAGAGCAGTGACGTAAATGTCTAGTTCCTGTATCTTCATACAGTGAGGGACTATCACTACTGTTTCATTTGAAAGCACTTCAGCTGATGAATTAATCCATAACATTATCTGAACAGGCCCCTATTTCATATGTGTGGCTTCTGAAGAACCTGTTTTTCTGCTTTGCCTGCCAAATGCACGATGTTGCTCACTGCATGTATGCTTGTGCAACTTAAAAGCAATGCAATGTCAGTTTCTGACTTCCATGTTCCCTGTTGTTAGCCTCTTGAGCAATAACGTTTCCTCCACTGGTAGACCAAAAATACAGTTTAAGATAGACACTCGACTATAATAGGAATATATGAGTATGCAAATGAAAAATATGCCAATGCAAACCCTCAAATATTATAGATTTGTTATTAAATAAAGATACTATGGATTTGACCAGCTAACAAAATATGATAGAACGTTTTGAAAGCGTTATTTTGTTACTTTTGAACATTCTGAAACAAGTTGTTACATTTAAAAAAAAAATGCTACATTTAACTGAACTCACTAGTCCCATGTGGCCCATGATCCAGCTTCTCTGCGGCGGCTGATTGAAGCACCGCAGCGCGCGTCGTTTGAGGGCGAGACGCGTCGCGAGCGCACACAGGAGCGTCGCACCGGAGAGCGCGAGGATCCCGAACGGCGAACAACCGGAGAAGAGCGCGCGCAGAAACCCGATCAGACCCGCTGACCCCATCATCATCATCCAGCAGCAACCTGCGGAGAGAAGCCTCTTTAGTGTCCAACTTTAATGACCAGCGGGTTTAATGTGTGCCCCATTGAAACACACACAACTCACTTACATTAATATATGCGCGTATAATATAATATATACATACAATGTAAACACACTTATGTGCGCTTTAAATGTCACATGAATAAGACCTTTATGATGAGCTGCCGCTGAAGTGTTTCTTGTCAGATGAAGTTCAGCTGCAGTTCCGGGTGCTGATGCATCATAAACATGCAGCATATGAAATACTGCCCATCACACATTATTAATGAACTCTGATATGAGTAATGCACATCACTGATGGGTTATGGAAAACTATTTTGATCATACAAAAAGTGTGAAGTGCAAAGTGCAAAGAAGTTTTAAATGTTAATATTCATAATAATATTAATTTATTAAATATATTTGTGTTTGAATTTGTAATACAAACTAGAATGTGCATATGCATGTGTAATGAACGTGGTTGCAGTATGTTGTTTACACGTTTGTGTTGAACAGACCTTTAGGCTTGCATCATTTGCACCGGCAGGTGGCGCTGCTGTAACATGATTATTTTTAGCAAATTAATCTATCATCTATCTATTATTGACGTATTCATTTTTTGGATATGATATATAAGTAATGTTTTTGTTACTAACGTTTTGAGAACATTATTTAAGACCAGATAACGTTTGTTCATCTGTCTATCAGCCCAGGTAACAAATTTAGGTTAGGGTGAATTCAGGTAAAGTGGGTCATTTAAGCTTGATTGTATTGTGTTCAATCGATTTACAGTTTCAGAGCGTAACACCAGTTCTTAATTAAGGGGACACTATTTCTCTAAATGATCAAATTGTTTTGGTTGATGCAATATGACACTGGTGTTTGGACTACCTTATGGTGAAAGGAAGAAAACCCTTCGACTTAAGATTTTAATTTCTAAATTATAAGGTTGCTCACTAAATGGAAACAAATAGTACACTCTAAAAAATGCTGGGTTAAATATAACTCAGCGCTGGGTTAAAAAGGGACAAACCCAGCTATTGGGTTGTTTTGAACCCAACCGCTGGGTCAAAACAACCCAACCGCTGGGTCAAAACAACCCAACCGCTGGGTCAAAACAACCCAACCGCTGGGTCAAAACAACCCAACCGCTGGGTCAAAACAACCCAACCGCTGGGTCAAAACAGCCCAACCGCTGGGTCAAAACAGCCAGATTCAGGTAAAGTGGGTCGACATTTAACCTTCAGTAATTATACCCAAATTCATTAAATAAATTGACACTCGTTGGATATTTTATAGTTGACTTGTATAATTTACTTTTTTAGAAAACAGAAATGAGACTGCAGTCAGGAAATTCAAGTCAGAGATGGAAGAAAAGAAAGAGAGAATAGAAAGTAAGGCAAGGCGTGAAGTTCAATCCGTGGAGTGAAGAAAGGATGAGAGGAGCAAAGTGTAGATGCAGAATATAAAGCTTAACATATGAACACTATTAAAGTTCATTTAAAGTGTTTAGAGAACAGAGACAGAAAACATTTTACATATGGTTACTATTTATATAAATGTTCCTCTCATTATTTGTTTTGTTTATTTGTTGTTGCTTGTGTTATAGTCACATTTTGAATATATTGTCGAGTTCATTTTTATCAATATTCAGATTTCTTAATATTCTGATATTCAGATTTCATCAAAATTAATGTCAACACAACATGTTTCATCAGTTCTTTGGAATTTCACACATGAATTAAGATTTTAAATTTGACTCATAACCTATAGGTTATGCATTTTCGGGTTTGTTAAATATGTTTGTCTGATAATATGTGTTAATAAATCATATGTTTTAAATTAAGATGCTGAATAATTGTTGATAAATAAGGGATGGCCCACTTTACCTGAAAAGAAATTTGTCTGGAGTGCAGACAACACTTTATATGAACTCTATTCAAATTGAAATATTATAGCTGGAACTTAAAGTTAACAAAAGCAATAAAGAAAAGAAAAAAACATAGGTATCTATATTACACGTTTTTACAAAACATGGCCCACTTTACCTGAATTCACCCTATAAGAACGTTATAAGATCATGTTCCATGAAGATATTTAGTAAATGTCCTACCGTAAATATATCAAAACTTAATGTTTGATTAGTAATATGCATTGCTAAGAACTTCATTTGAACAACTTTAAAGATGATTTTCTCAATATTTAGATTTTTTGCACCCTCAGATTCCAGATTTTCAAATAGTTGTATCTCAGCCAAATATTGTCCGATCCTAACAAACCATACATCAATGGAAAGCTTATTTATTCAGCTTTCAGATGATTTTTTTTAAAACTTCAATTTCGAAAAATTGACCCTTATGACTGCTTTGGGGCCCAGGGTCACATTTGTGTAGACAATATAACGTCTTTAGTTAGTCTTTAAGAATTAGGAAAATTTGGGGATATTAGGTCTCGTTCCTGTTCTAGAAATGGAAGTATTGCAGTATTTTTATTTTCGCAGTAACACTGCAGTGAACTACATCTCCCGTGATGCCTCGCGGTTGCACGTGAGCAGTGGAATGTGCAGAATGTGTTTCCTGTGTTTGGCATCAGGAGCCCCGCTCCCCCGCTCCTCCGCTCAGGCTCCGCGCTGCTCCGTGTGTGTCGGCGGAGGTCCCCTGAATGAGCGGCTCTGAGGCGCTTCAGTGATGGCTGAGCCGCTGCTTAAAAGAACCTTCTCCAAACTCCGCGCTAAAGAGCGGTTCCGCCGCAAGACGGACCCCAAACTCTCCGGTGAGTGACCAGACCACTGCAGACTTCCACACACAACTTTTTCTCTTTATTTTTTACAGTGCAGCTGAAGTTTTGCAGAAGATACCAATGAGCTGGTGACAAAAATGCTGTAGATCTGTTACTTTAATTTAATTTTAAGTAAGTTTATTAGTTTGGAAAAATACATGTAATGCATGCTTTCTATATGTTTAGGCTGTAATTATTGTACTTTTTACTTTTATGTAGCAGTCAGAGTTTGGACTGTTTTTCCACATGTTAGAATAATTGTGAAGTCGTAAAAAAATGAGATATATTTATTACATAAATAATCTGGACATTCATCATGGAACTTCATAAGCTGATTTTAAAAGTAGAGGAAATATTATTTTATATATTTTTTTAAAGAGTGAATTGGAGCAGATGGAGATGATGCTTCTCCTTCACTATGTGCTCCAATTTATCCATTAAAAAATAAAATAATAGCTATTTTAGTTAACTAAAATTATATATTTTTTAAACTAAAATATTATTTGATTTGTTTTAATGGATAAATGCTAATGTTTATTTTTCAGTTTTCATATATAACATCTTTAGTTTTGGTAGTTTAGTTATTATAGCCTTTAAAAAAATTTAATAATATTTTAGTTAACTAAAATAATATTTTTTAAAGTAAAATATAATTAATTTTTTTAATGGATGAATTGGAGCAGATAGTTAAGGAAAAGCGTTATGATGAAAACTAAAACATTATTTATTTTTATTTTAAAGAAAATATTTTTAATGGATGAATTGGAGCAGAAAAAAATATTATTTTAGTTTTCATCATAATACTTCTTCACTATCTGCTCCAATTCATCCATTAAAAAATAAATAAATAAAATAAAAACAAATAAATAATGTTTTGGTTTTCATCATAATGCTTTTACTTAATTATCTGCTCCAATTCATCAAAAATAAAAAAATAACATAAAATATTTTAGTTATATAAAGATACTATTTTAGGCCAAAATTGTTGTGGAGACATAATTCACATTTGCCTATCAAAAGGATTTTACACTCAAGGGTCAGTGTGTCCAAACTTCTGACCGCTAGTGTAATAGATTAGTTTATTTTGGAGAAATGCTCATGTTGTATATCTCACAAAGAGAGCTCTGTGCTTTAGTATAAGACAGCTTTAATGCTTCTTTCTCATGTGATGAGGTTATTTTGACGGAACGGCTGACAGCGAGTGACTAACGCTGCTGGATCTTGAGAAAACCATTGTGAGTCAGTTACATAATGTGTTCATTAGAGAGGAGAGCAGCTCTGCATCATCCATCGAGCGCGCTCACATTCTGTTACACACACAGCATCACTGTGTATCCTCCGGAGCGACATGATATATGTGCAATTAACCCTGTAAAGCCTCTTACTCTAAAAAAACTCTAAACGGTCAATCAGAGACAGAAGGCGTGGAGCAGATTGTGTGCGGCAGGTTTAACAGCAAAGTTTGATCATATAGAGACCTTAGAAGTAGGGTTGTGCCGGTGAGGAAATTTTCCCACCGGTTAATCCATGTGTGACAACACCGGTAATACCGGTATCACCGCGGGGGCGTTCCCTCTTTTCCTCACTTTCCTTCACTTTTAAATAGCGGCGTGCGAATTTTACTTTCACTTTCGAATTAGCGGCAGTTCGGCGTAAATTGCTTGAATGCAACAACAAAATACAACGTCAAACTCACTTTAGCCTATATATAAAACATAGAACTTTTATTAACAAAACATAAAAATACACTATGCTATAGGGCAGGCTATGCCTAATATAAAATAACAAATAACTTACATAAAGTTTAAATAGGTATCCAAAACTGGAAATAAGTAAACATGTATAATATATAACCAAATAAATAAGAAACGTAGAAAGATTATTAGCAAAATGAATAAGAAAGCTTGGAGGTGACACAAAGTTTAAATTAAGCTTTAGCGTTAGTTCTGGCAGGTCACGTGAGTCAAGCTTGCATCAGCTGATTCTCAGCTGATCACATCTACCTATAGGAATACGACACCTATCGCAGGATTCCTATATAAGCTGTATTCAGTATTATTCAGCAGCTTTTCAGCTTGCTTCGGAGCAAATTAAGCATCGCTGCTCGCAAATCAAACTGTTGCAGCGTGTTTCAGAACATCTGAAATCCACATCTAAGATAAGTGAATGCTGTTTTAATCCATATCGCTGTGTATATTACCTGGTCTGCTAATTGAAAAAAGCATATTTGCAGCAGCATTTACGCATCTGTGTTCATACAGCTGGAGCAACACGACGTCTAGAGCATGTAATCGCTCTGAGGACACGCCGATAGTTAAGGCCATGAGAACAAGTTTAAATGAAACACGCATTCTCGTGTATGCGTTTCAACTGGGGCTCGCTGTATTCAGCGGCATAATCTCAATGTTACGGTTGTTTATTTCTAAGGTTGATGTTTCATTAGCTGTGTGAGTGTGCGGTCAGAAGCACGCGTTTATCGCTCCTAATGGCTTCTATACATATAAGAATGTAATATCAATGACCGTCATTCGAAGTATTTCTGCAGTGTGTATGCTTCCCCTGCTGGACTGCCACTTATCAGAGATTCATAATTTCTGATCCGCTTGAATATGTGCTCACACTGAGTAATGTGAGCATATGAGCATGAGAAATTAGGGTGATGTGTTGATTATAATGTTTTAGTTTTCATCATAACGCTTTTCCTTAACTATCTGCTCCAATTCATCCATTAAAAATATTTTCTTTAAAATAAAAATAAATAATGTTTTAGTTTTCATCATAACGCTTTTCCTTAACTATCTGCTCCAATTCATCCATTAAAAATATTTTCTTTAAAATAAAAATAAATAATGTTTTAGTTTTCATCATAACGCTTTTCCTTAACTATCTGCTCCAATTCATCCATTAAAAATATTTTCTTTAAAATAAAAATAAATAATGTTTTAGTTTTCATCATAACGCTTTTCCTTAACTATCTGCTCCAATTCATCCATTAAAAATATTTTCTTTAAAATAAAAATAAATAATGTTTTAGTTTTCATCATAACGCTTTTCCTTAACTATCTGCTCCAATTCATCCATTAAAAATATTTTCTTTAAAATAAAAATAAATAATGTTTTAGTTTTCATCATAACGCTTTTCCTTAACTATCTGCTCCAATTCATCCATTAAAAATATTTTCTTTAAAATAAAAATAAATAATGTTTTAGTTTTCATCATAACGCTTTTCCTTAACTATCTGCTCCAATTCATCCATTAAAAATATTTTCTTTAAAATAAAAATAAATAATGTTTTAGTTTTCATCATAACGCTTTTCCTTAACTATCTGCTCCAATTCATCCATTAAAAATATTTTCTTTAAAATAAAAATAAATAATGTTTTAGTTTTCATCATAACGCTTTTCCTTAACTATCTGCTCCAATTCATCCATTAAAAATATTTTCTTTAAAATAAAAATAAATAATGTTTTAGTTTTCATCATAACGCTTTTCCTTAACTATCTGCTCCAATTCATCCATTAAAAATATTTTCTTTAAAATAAAAATAAATAATGTTTTAGTTTTCATCATAACGCTTTTCCTTAACTATCTGCTCCAATTCATCCATTAAAAATATTTTCTTTAAAATAAAAATAAATAATGTTTTAGTTTTCATCATAACGCTTTTCCTTAACTATCTGCTCCAATTCATCCATTAAAAATATTTTCTTTAAAATAAAAATAAATAATGTTTTAGTTTTCATCATAACGCTTTTCCTTAACTATCTGCTCCAATTCATCCATTAAAAATATTTTCTTTAAAATAAAAATAAATAATGTTTTAGTTTTCATCATAACGCTTTTCCTTAACTATCTGCTCCAATTCATCCATTAAAAATATTTTCTTTAAAATAAAAATAAATAATGTTTTAGTTTTCATCATAACGCTTTTCCTTAACTATCTGCTCCAATTCATCCATTAAAAATATTTTCTTTAAAATAAAAATAAATAATGTTTTAGTTTTCATCATAACGCTTTTCCTTAACTATCTGCTCCAATTCATCCATTAAAAAATAAATAAATAAAATAAAAACAAATAAATAATGTTTTGGTTTTCATCATAATGCTTTTACTTAATTATCTGCTCCAATTCATCAAAAATAAAAAAATAACATAAAATATTTTAGTTATATAAAGATACTATTTTAGGCCAAAATTGTTGTGGAGACATAATTCACATTTGCCTATCAAAAGGATTTTACACTCAAGGGTCAGTGTGTCCAAACTTCTGACCGCTAGTGTAATAGATTAGTTTATTTTGGAGAAATGCTCATGTTGTATATCTCACAAAGAGAGCTCTGTGCTTTAGTATAAGACAGCTTTAATGCTTCTTTCTCATGTGATGAGGTTATTTTGACGGAACGGCTGACAGCGAGTGACTAACGCTGCTGGATCTTGAGAAAACCATTGTGAGTCAGTTACATAATGTGTTCATTAGAGAGGAGAGCAGCTCTGCATCATCCATCGAGCGCGCTCACATTCTGTTACACACACAGCATCACTGTGTATCCTCCGGAGCGACATGATATATGTGCAATTAACCCTGTAAAGCCTCTTACTCTAAAAAAACTCTAAACGGTCAATCAGAGACAGAAGGCGTGGAGCAGATTGTGTGCGGCAGGTTTAACAGCAAAGTTTGATCATATAGAGACCTTAGAAGTAGGGTTGTGCCGGTGAGGAAATTTTCCCACCGGTTAATCCATGTGTGACAACACCGGTAATACCGGTATCACCGCGGGGGCGTTCCCTCTTTTCCTCACTTTCCTTCACTTTTAAATAGCGGCGTGCGAATTTTACTTTCACTTTCGAATTAGCGGCAGTTCGGCGTAAATTGCTTGAATGCAACAACAAAATACAACGTCAAACTCACTTTAGCCTATATATAAAACATAGAACTTTTATTAACAAAACATAAAAATACACTATGCTATAGGGCAGGCTATGCCTAATAT